GTTTTTGTTTATTTTCTGATTTGTTAGATCCTTTATTTTAGTAGTTTTTTTTAAACTTTTTTACTCTACCAAAAAAGAAGAAGAAAAAAAAGTAGAGTAGGGAGATTGATGTAATAGTGACTTTTATTGGAGTGGCCAAACGATGTCGTGTTCATTTTTTATGCATATCAATCTGTTTGGAGATGATGCTAAGTAATGGGTTTGTTTCAAATTCTTGATTCGTCAATGTTAGCACTTAGCAACAAAGCAATATAAGGGTTGTGATTCTTTCTTCTTTTATCGAGACGATCGAATCAGCGGGACACACGTCACTTATGGAATCTACGATATCGAGGGCACGATTGGCTTAGTAAAGATAATAAAAAAAGTTCCAACTGGTGAATTTTATCCATGGCTTCATCTTCTGATTTCAGAACCTCCTCAAACAACATTCCATACCAGGGTATGTCAAATTCTTTACAAACCCATTTTCTATGTCATGTTCATACACAAACATATATATATATATACAAATTATTGTTTCGATTCCTCAAAATAACTAATCATATATTTATGTGTATACTGCAGGATTGGATTGTCATGATGAGAATGTCCTCAAAAAACATGTCGTTCTTTGATCGGAACAAAGACGGTGTTGTTTATCCTTGGAAAACTTTTCGAGGCTTTTTTTTCTCTGATTTTCATTTTATATAATTTTGATCAATTAGTGTGTGTATATATATATATCATATCAAATTGAAAAAAAGTTATGCGATTGAATATATAAATAACTAAAAAACAAATTGAATATAAAAATAATTTTAGCCAAACTCAATATTCTTAATTAAATAAATCCTCATTCTTAACTTAAAGAAATTTCATAAATATGAAAAAAAATTAAAAAAAAAAATTAAAAACTCAAAAAAAAAAAAAAAACCTCAAAGAGATGTGTGTTTATATATCATATCAAATTCAAAAAAAAAAAAAATTATGCGATTGAATATATGAATTAAAAAAAAAATTGAATGAGGATGTATTAAAATTTTTATCAATTGAAAAGTAGTGTTCCTTAATTCAATTTTTATTGACTCAATCGCATAATTTCTTTAAAAAAATTATGCACACACATCGCGTGTGCCCTCACCGCTAGTATATATATATATATATAGACAGATAGATAGATAGATATAGAGAGAGAAAGAGGAATTGGAGGATAGAATTCAAATTCAATTCAAGAATTTGGAATTTGGGATTTTACAAATTTGGTTATTGCCTGGTATGTGAAATGGGGGGTGTGAACTAGTTAGATTATGTTTTAGTGAGTGCCCAAATTGTTATGTGGTGTGCAACTACGTAAGTGTCTAATAGTTTAAAGAATGGATAATTTTGATATTATGTGTGAGTTCTTAGAAATTTTCTTAATAATTAAATTTCATAAGTAGGAGTTTAAAGAAATGGAGGTACTTAGAGTATTCTTAATCGTTCATCAAATCTTTTATAAAATTTGAGTAAAAAAATGATAAAAAGTTTGATATGATATGATGCACGTCAACAGTTTTCATCAATTCTATCGATCGTTCGGTGAAGAGTAAATTTTCACTCAAAATCAGTTGTTCGAGAGGTTGTCTATCTAGTCGTCCACCAACAGTCATTTGTGTAATTTGATAAAAGGTTAAACGCTCTCTTGATTTTATAAAAAATCTGTCGCTTCTTTCATTTGTTTGATAACAGGGTTGAAGCTCACATTTTAAGCCTTTTTCATCAAATTTGAATTTAATGACAGATTTAAGTAAACGTTGGAGATGGCCTTAGAAAAAAGGTAAGGCTATTAGTGCCACCCATAATTAAATTAAACAAATCAAATGCATATTAACTTTTTAAAAGTGAAACAATATTAATAATTTAAGAATATAAAATTTTAAATTAATAAGAGAAAATTGGTAATAAATCCAATATAAAGAGAGTAAAAGGTATTTGATCTAGTGGATATTTTTTTGTAGGTGAAAGATTCACATTTTGTGAAATAATTTGATTAAAAGTCCTGAATGACATTTTGTTTTCAATTTTACCCTTTGACCTTTTTTTTTTTCTTATCTATTTGATTTTTGTTGACTATTTGTTAAAATTTGTATTTATTTGTTCAAATTTTTTCCCTATCTGTTTAAATTTTTTAACTATATATTCAATTTTTTTACCTAATTTATTTAATTTTGTGATCTTTTTAATTCAAATTTCTATAATCTATTTAGATATTTGTCCAAATTTTTTATTTGTTGAAATAAAAGCCAAACCGAATCCTATTCGTTGAAATACAAAGCTAAACCAACCTTATCTGCTGCAATAATAGACAAAGTATTATATATTATCTGTTTTGTTGAAATGCAAATCTTTGTTATGGAAATAACTAAAGTCATTGTTCAAATTTTATTATCTATTGAAATTTTGAACTAATTTGTCATATATTTTTTTTTAATCTGTTGAATCTATTTTATCATGTTCATGATCATCGTCATCATCATCATCATCACCATCAACAACAACAAAATAACAAAACAAAAAACAAAAAACAAAATTCAAATTGAGAGATCTGTAAATGTGTGTAACAAATCTCTAGATCTGGAGAGAGGTAAATATATATACACATACATATATATGCTTGATATATACATATATACAGATATATATATATATAAAATTAAAAGTATATACATAAATGTTAAGCTTTGCAATTACACACTATGGCCTATTTTGGCAAGTTGGTTAAAAACCAGCTTTTTGACTTTTTAGCTTTTTGGGTTGCATCACATCTCTATTTTTTACATGTTTTTTTATAAAAAAAAAATCAAAAAAAGCCAAAAAATATAGCTTTTAACCAACTTTCCAAAACAACCCTATAGAGAGAGGGGGGATTCTGTCATATTTGCATCTGATTTCCCAGTAACCATAGGAACTTTAGCTGACGACAATGATTTTGCCATTTTTGTGCATTTTTTTTTTTCCTTCTTGTATTTGCCGTGAGAGGATTTGAGAGTTAATAGGCGCAACGATAGTGTTGCTTTAGCCGCAGGAAAAAAACGATGGACAACGGTGAGATCTACGATCCGCGAGATCATTGGCGTAGCACATCTCGAGTCTCGACCGGCGGCAAACAACGGAGAAAAAAGGATTTGAGAACTGATAAGCGCGATGGGGTCGCTACTTTGGCGGCAAGAATAGAAAAGTGGACGGCAGTGAGATCGTCGGAGGAAAGATCTGAGTAAGAAAGGGTTTGAGAGTATCGGTGGATGAGAGAGAGAGAGACAAAGAGAGAGAGAGAGAGAGAGAGAGAGTTGTGAGCAAGGTTTTGAAAAGCGGTTGCAGCCGCCGTAATGGTTACGAGGACGCGATAGCGGTTGTAGGGTGTAAAAGCCATAGCGTAACGATTGCAGTAGTCGAAACTGTAATTTTTTTTTTAATTTTTTGCACAATTTGGAGAAAACTTCCCAATACGCATATTTTTTTCTTCAAAATCATATTTATTGGGATTTAAAATAAATTTTGATCAATTTTTGTTAATTTTTAAATATGATCCAATATATTTCATATTTTGAAATCACTATAAAATGAGTTTTTTACATTTTATTTAAATAGTTAATGATTTTAAGAATAATTGATTTTAAAATTTTATAAATTATTTTTTACCAATTACTAAATTAACTGAATAAAAAATATTCAAAATTATTAAATGAAAGGATTATAAAATAAAATTATGTCATAAATTAAAAAAGAAAAAACCAATTAGGCCTAGCTTACTTGGCCACCATGCCTTCCTTAGGGTTTAGTCCTAAGGAAGTCATGGGTTCAATTCTTCTTAGGAGAGTTGAATTAAAGGAGTGTAAGCACTTAGGTGCTTTGCCAAAGGTGGGGAGAATTTCTTCCATAGTTGCTAATCTAACAACTAGCATTTGCCGGTAAAAAAGAAAAAAAATTCATATAAGATTTTTTTCTTTGGGTTTGGATCACTTGAGTATTTGTTTATTTTTTGTAAGCTTTTGTTTATTATCAAATAAGTATACTTTTTAATTTTTTGGACTAAAAAATTAAGGAAAAAAAGATGGTTGTTTGGTTAACTTTTTGACTTTATACAGAAAAATATATATTAAAAAATTGTATAAATTAGTGTGTAGGAGAAGATAAGGACATAGACAGTACGCCCGTCCGTCTAGGCAGAGTGAATTAACTTTAAGAAATGGTTGTTTACTTTTCATGCATTGCATTGGACCGTGCTTTTCGTCTCGTGAGGGCCCACACAGGTCCCGTTTTGATAATCTGAACCGTTTAATATGTAAAACTCGTCGAGTACTATATGTTTGTAAGAAATCGCATTGATCGAATATCGATAGTTATTTGATCGGATTAGTTTTTTTTTTCAACCGTTAACTATAATACCATATTTTTTTTATACAAAACTGATTTGATCATATAGTTAGCGATATTCGATCAAAGTGATTTTTCATAGACATATAGTACTCGATGAGTTCTACACATTAATGGTTCAGATTATCAAAACGGGACTCGTGATAGCCCCCATGGACCGAACAACACCATGTTGTTTGTGTACTTCGCTTGTGCAATGTTTTCAAAAAAACTCAACTTTGTACCTGCGGGACGTTAGAGTTGTTTGTAATAATTTGTGTGTAAATTTTTTTTTGATGAATAGTAATAATTTTTTAATTTTTCTAATAACTTTTTACTTTTAAATTTTTTTTAGGTATCCCAAGGCCTTAAACTTTTTAACATAGTGACCAATTAATAATAATTTGAGAGGGGTAAAATAATTTTTTGGGAAAAAAAAAATGGAAAATGCTAGAGGTCCCAAATTTTCTACCAAATAAATGACCAAATGTCTCGGTGTGGGGCCCACAAAATTGCGGACCCCACACCCATGTGAGACATTTGGTCATTTGTTTGGTAGAAAATTTGGTGTCCCTAGCATTACCCAAAAAAAATTGAAGTAAAAGGACAGTGATCTCTCAAATATACATATGGCAGCTAGCTAGGGATTTGTTTTTAGCAAAACATCAAGAAGTAGGGGACTGAACGGTTCTAAAATGGATGGAGACAGCCATAACCGGACGGAAACGCAGAGAACCAGCGCCGTCGAACCATCCACGGCTTTGGCATACCTCGATCCTCATTACTGGTGAGCACTCACTGATGAATCCTCTGTTTGGATGTCGAGAAAACGTAGGATTAAAAGTAAATACAAGAAATCGAACAAGTTTCAGGCATCAGCTCTCTCTCATAATTTTAAGCCAAAAAACCAGAACATCACAAAAGAAAAAGCCATTGATTTTATTTTTATTTATTTTCCCTCCGTTTTTCTCAGTAACCAAACACGGCTTCTGTCATGGTAAATTTGTTTGTTTTGTTATATTTTAGGGATGAGAGGTTCGCTCAAGAGGATCACTACGAATGGTTTAAAAACTACTCTCATTTTCGTCATCTCATTCAACAACACGTTAAACCCAATTCCTCCGTATGTATAAACCTTTCCTATATCTGTATAGTTTGGTTGCTCATTTTGTTTATTCATTTGACTCTTCAAACAATCATTAGCATATCTTTTTCTAAACGCGAATAATTGCAGGTGTTGGAGCTGGGATGTGGAAACTCTCAGTTGTGTGAACAACTGTACAGCGATGGAATTACTGAAATGACATGCATTGATTTGTCTGCGGTCGCAGTGGAGAAGATGCAGAAACGGTTACTATCCAAGGGATACAATGGTTTGTAGCTTGATCTTCAAAAAATACCTAGTTATCCATTTGCTATATAAAGATAAAGATTTTTAATCCATTTTAGCTCTCAATGGCTTCATTTGATGTAAAACTTGGATGATGAGCTAAACAAAAAGAACCAAAAAGAAAACAAAAAAAAAAAAAAAAGAAAAAAAAAAAAAAAAAAAAAAGAGAGAGAGAAGAAAAGTACAATGGTTTGTAGCTTGATCTTCAAAAAATACCTAGTTATCCATTTGCTATATAAAGATAAAGATTTTTAATCCATTTTAGCTCTCAATGGCTTCATTTGATGTAAAACTTGGATGATGAGCTAAACAAAAAGAACCAAAAAGAAAACAAAAAAAAAAAAAGAGAGAGAGAGAAGAAAAGTTTCTAATGATTTAAATTTTTGATATGGGCAAATTTCAGTTTATCCCTTGTGATTTGAATGTAACCTTGTCATTTGAAAAAAAAGCACGTAATCCATTGTGGTGGTAGGAGGGAGGAGGGGTCAAGGGGATCTTGACCCTTCCAATGTTCTGCAAAATTCTATTTTGTATGTGCTATTTTTTGAATTTTTTTTTTCTACCCCTTGTAATGGCCACCCTAATTTAATTAGACATTTCAAAAATATTGTAACAATCACTTTGTAATTATTACACTCACCTCCCCCGAGGTTCAGAGAAAATGCAGTTAGTCCCACATTTTTAACAAAATGATAGTAACCACTGAATCTAATGTTAATGGTAGGTAGACACTAAAATAAACAATGGTAAATATACATTTTAGTAGGAAAGAGATGATAGCATTATTTTTGTATTCATATGACTAATGAATTACTGATGAAAAAGGACTTAAAAGTGTTATGTGAATTAAAATCTTGAGGTAGGTCAGTGTAATTATGTCAAAAGTACGAGGCTAACTATATTTTTTTCAAACCTCAAGGGAGGTGAGTGTAATTTGCCCTTCAAAATTTAATGACTCATGTAATGGTCCTCAAAAAATTTACAATAAAATGTTCTGATGAACACATTTTCTTAGAATGTTTGTTTACTATCTTATGTGTCAACACTACATTGATAACAATATAAGTGGTGGAACCTATTAAACCAATAGTGTTGTTGGCAAGTGGTAAACAAATTGTGATAAGAAAAAACAATCATCATAACATCATTGAAAATTTTAATTCAACTCCCTATTAAAAAGCCATTGGTAATCACATGTTAAAAAAATTCTTGCAATAAACAAAGAATATAATTTACTTGATTGGTGAGAAATCATATTAAACAAAAAATAAAAAGAATTTTATTAAATCAGTTGAATTGTGCTATAGAAAACAAATTAGTTAGTTGGGCATGAAGTTTTATGGACTTGTCCGCACTTTCTGGGTTTTCAACCTTGCGAGTTCAGTTTTTATAATTTCAAATTTTTTGTGCTCTAACTTTTGCCTAAGTCGCCCTTTCGAGTTTTCGGCCTAGCGAGCCACTCAGGGAAAATATTTCTTCAACTTGTCCATGTTGATCGGTTGGGAGAACTCTAGGCCATCTAGGTCCATCAGAACGGCAGCTCCCCTCGACCAGATAGACTTGATGATGTAAGGACCAGTTCAATTGGGTCTGAACTTGCCCCTAGGGTCATGGATGGGAGCTCGGTTGTCTTTGAGTACCAAATCTCCTCCTTTCAAATTCCGGGACTTAACCTTCTTGTTAAAAGCCTTGGCAATTCGTCGTTGATAACCCTGAACATGATACAGTACTTTCAGCCTTCTTTCATCAAAGAGTATGAGAAGTGAATAGTATGTTTAAATTGAGACTAGCTTCTTATAATTTTTAATTGGGCCAATTAACCTATATTAAGTAATATTTAATAATTATTTAATCAAATAAAACCCAACTTGATCTATTGATTGTCCAAATGGATTTGCTCTATGCCTTCCTTGTGGCAGCCTAAAGTGCACTGTCAGACCCATTAACAGTTTAAGCAAAAGACTAAATATCCTTGTATATCAGTAATCTCATTTTGCAAACCATAGATATTTTTGTCGTTTTTTTTTGGGAGGAAAATTTCACTTTAGCCTCCTGTGTTTTATATCATGTACGATTTGCCCCCTGACACTTAGAAATGAGCACGTAACCCCTTATGTCCCAGCATGTGTTTTACACTTGTTGTTAGGTGTGACGGAAAATCTGATGGTGCATTTCAATTAACAAACCATAAAAGGGTTATGTAATAGATGGTTAATTCCAAATGATAAGGGTAATCCGCATGTGGCCAAACCACAGGTGGTGAAATAAAATTTGCTCTTGAAGGTGCGGATTCAATTAGTCATAATCAGCTTGTCATAAATGGCATGATTCATCGATTCATTTATCTATAATGTGTGATTACAAAATATTCGTAAAAAAAGTTATACCTAGTGCACCAGACTCTTGCGCAAAACATGGTTACCACCACTTTATTGTAGAGAGGCCGATTCTATGACTTGAACACACGCCATAACGTTGGAGGTAGATAGTATTTGCCATAGCAAGTTGTTAAGGATTGAGAAGGATGCATTCTGATTGATATACCAATGCAATGGTATATATATAATATAATATAACTAATACTTTTTGTTTTGGGTAAGTTAGGTAAAGATTCTATTAAAAAAGCCAAAGACAAGATGTATACTAAGGGCAAATTTCATTGTACTCCCTTGTGGATTGGCCCATATGCACATTACTCCCTTGTCATGTTGAAATAACCACATAACCCCATGTGATTTGTAGACTAAAATGCGTATTAACTTTGGTTAACTAGACGTGTGGATTGGTCTAAATACCCTCTTCTTTTACTTTGCTAAATTAAACCTATATATCTATATATATATGTGTACTCTATTTTCTTCCTACTATGGCTGCAAACCTCCACCGTGTAGCCCATACCCATCCCAGCGACCCACCACCTTGCAACCTTCCTACCCCATGCCACCCAAGCAACAACCACTTTGCAGCCTCCCCAAATCAACTGATTACAGTTAACTACTCCGGCTGCCATGGCAGCCATTGCCGGGCTCATCCAAATCAAAATCCAATTTGAAAGTGAAATTCGAAATCAAAATCCAAATTTTAATTGAAATGAAGTGAGGACATGCGTAGTCGGGTTGCAGAGATCACTACTACGGTGTTTACCAACCAGAACAAAAATACATGTGAGATGGTGTTAGAGGGATTGGGTTACTAAGGGTGATGAACAGAATAAAGGATTTCATTGACAGATATTGATTTATTTATGTATGTATAGATATTTATACTAGCAGCATGTGTGTAATTGTGGATGGGTGGTTCCCTTGCTATGTTGATAGCAGAAATTGAAGTTTTAAGTTATTATGATCAACTTGTAAATTACTGTTAGTGTTGCAGAGTGGTATAAAATCAATGAGCTAATCTTCATGTGGCAATTGTTGGGTTGTTTCTGCAACCTGTGAGAGTGTGGGGAATAAGAGGTTGTTGTTGAAGATGTATCACAACGATGTTTATTTTTTTTTGTTGTAAATTTGAAGATTTATAAGGGGTTTTTTCGTCTTAAAAATGAACTTCCTCTCCACATAGGCCAGTGCCTCTCACAGCCCGTTATTTAGATGGAAAAAGTAGTGGTGCATTTTAATCCACAAATCACTGGTGGGGGTTATTATGTGATTATTTCCAAATGATAAGGGGGTTATCTGAACATGGCCCAAACCAAATGGGGGTAAAAGTGAAATTTTCCCTAAAACTAATATTGTGGTCACTGAAGTTATAATGTGGTGGTGTCTACTTAAAAACTTTGGTGCAGTGCAGTAAAGAATTTAATCGATTATATATTTTCAACGCATATACTGCAACATGGTTCAGAAGATAAGGGATTCTGAAGAGGTCCTGCAAGGAACAGTGACGTCTTGAAGTGCAATACTGGAACAGATTCTTTACTTGTTCCTTATGCAACATAGAAATCTTTGTTAGTCTTCTTTCTTATCAAATGGAGTCAAAGTGTTGTTTGGGAAGAGGGATATTGATTATTTTGACATTTTATGTTTCACATTTTTATGCTAGTGAATTTGTTTCACCGATATCACTAGACATCATATTTTGAGACATGGGGATAGTGGTGGTGTCGCAATAATAAATAACTTAATTTCAGTAAAATCAGAGTTATGTTGACAGTTCCTTCTGTTCATTTATTTATTTATTTTTATTATCTTTATCATCAGAAATTAAAGTGCTGGAAGCTGATATGCTAGACCTTCCATTTACCAATGAATGTTTTGACGTGGTTATAGAGAAAGGAACCATGGTAATCTTAATGAAGTGTGATGTTTCTCATTTTATTTATGGAATTATTCCTGTATCTTGAATTTAACTATAATGTCTTTTTGTCACATTGTCTTTTGATCTTTGATAGTCGAGTATGTGTATTTTAAATTTGAAGGATGTATTGTTCGTGGACAGTGGCGACCCTTGGAATCCACGATCTGCAACAGTAAACAAGGTAATGGCAATGCTTCAAGGGGTTCATAGGGTTCTTAAACCAAATGGTATTTTCATCTCAATCACCTTTGGCCAGGTATTATAATCAGTATTGCAACATCTCATTTCTCTTTCTTATCATTTTTTATCGGGCTATGTTCCTCAGCTGTAATTTGCATGTCCTACAGCCACACTTCAGGCGCCCTTTATTTAATGCTCCAGAATTCACCTGGTCTGTCGAGTGGAATACATTTGGCGATGGATTTCACTATTTCTTCTACATCTTGAAGAAGGTTAGTCCACTGAATTTCAGAAACTTAATATTTGATGTTTTTGGAGGCTATGCTTATTGTATAATGCGGCATTTGGATGTTACGTCGAAATGGAATGCTATATGATTAGCAATGAGTCCATTTTACTTCGCATAGCTTTTGAAAGAGTTGCGTTGCATGTATAGAAACACTTCAGGACTTTAGGAATAAAATAATTAATGTTTTGTGATTAATTCCAATCATTATGAATCAATTTTAGAAGTTGAAACGCACCTTCATATGCTATGAAAACAAAGTGTAAAGTTTCATTCTATGTCAAATGGACATGCAAACACACCATAGATACATTTTAGGACTTTGGGGTAAAATAGTTAATGTTTTGCAATTAATTCCGATTTTTATGAATCCATTTTAGAAGTTGAAACACATCTTCAAATTCCATCAGAACAAGTTTGTATGTCAAATAGACGTGCAAACACACTGTGTCCACTCTTATGGTGCCGATGATTAAAGGGGAAAAATTACAGGGTCAGAGATCATCAGAGAACAACGGATTTAGGGAGAGGGTTGAGAAGACATCTATTTCTCTATTTCATGATGAACTAGAAACTGAAGATTTCATTTTCCGAACCAACATCGATGAAGTGGAAAGTTAAGACTAAATTTTTCTTCATGTTTTTCCCTTTCTTCCCTCCTTGTAATCTTGGTTTCATTCTGCCCAAGCTAAGTTCAATGTGCAATGTAGAAGTTTAATACCATAGCTTTGAGGAATAATAGCATGATTTGTACTACAACTTGTGCATCATCTGCTTGAGTAATTTCTTTATCAATTACTTTGTCTTCTCATTAGTCGTGGTTCACTAGATATCGTGATTGAGGGATTTGCTGTGCACACAATTGAAATGCAACTATTAATTGTTCGTTAAAATGGTTCTGTATTTTGTTTTGGTAAATTGTGAGTTGTAGGCATGGAAACACGTATAGTTGTATCTTTATCAACTTTATGTCTCTTTTTTTTTTCTTTGTGAAAGTTATCGGTTTCCCAAGTTATTTATCAATGCATAATACATGGCTTGCAGTGAAAAACTATTCAACAAACAAAGGTGTGATTTATGTCCAATCAATTAAAAATGGAGCTTAACATTAGTTAGAATTTTGGTGGTTTAAAGTTTATGTATTTCCTCATGATCAATTGAAAGGTGGCCACCCTAGAAACTCTAGAATTGAAACTCTGGTTTTTTTGGCATAAAACAGGGACACGATACCATCCATCCAGGAAAGAGGATTGCAGGCTTTCTCTATTAGGAAGATTTGTATTTATATTGTATTATTTTGTTTTCCTATACTTCACAAAACAAGTAGTCTATTCAAGGTTCATTATTTGGCACGAAGGCTCACAACGCAGGTCCATCCACCCCGGTGGGCTTTTACTCCGCCCAAGCCTGTATCTCGGTCTGGTTGGCCTAGTTCGAATGAGGTTTGGGTTGGGCCTAAGCCTAGGTTTGAAGCCCAGCGTTGGCCTACCGGCTCGACATGTGACCCCAACATAAAATTTGAAAAAATAGGGGAAAAAATTAGAAGATAAGCTTGAATCTGTGTCTATTGGGCTAAGCCTATGGGTCGAGTTGGCCCTTGAGAAGCTACCTATTGGCCCACCAGTGAGCTTGGCCTATGAGCAAGGTTTTCAAAACCGGTCCAGCCTGGTCGATTCAACCGGTTAAACTGTCGACCTGGTGAGGCTTCGGTCTGGTCAGTCCTCTTAAACCGTTCAAGGGCAAAAATCGGCATATTTGAGGAGAACCGTTTAAACTGGTGGTTCAACTGCCGAACCGTTCAACCCGTTCACAGGTCAATCAAACTGGTGCAGTTTTGTTATGATATATATATATATAAATCCTCAAATCTGTCTCTTTTCTCTTTGTTTCTCTTCAGCAGCAGCTGATCTAGGGCTTCTTTGGCAACCTTGCACACCACGACCATAGCGCTCTCTCTCTCTCTCTCTTCATTAATCATCATCACCATTAATGAATCACTCAAGTTCTCAACTCTTCTTGCAACAAAGCAATGACCTTGAAGTTCAAAACTTTGCTATCAGCTTTATGGTCCTTAATACTGCATCTCAATCCGAAGATCTCTCTTCTCTGTACTCTGCCTCTCAGTCTCAGACCTCTTTCTCGTCTCTCTTCGGTAAATTTCTATAAGTTTATGCAACAACTTCATTGATTGAACGTGTATTGGAGTTGTCACCACCTTCATGGTTTTTGTGGATATAAAAGTGTCTCTGCGATGCTCTTTTTTTTTTTGCCGCATATGCCAGAATAATGGCGCGCGGCGGCTTATGTAGTTATGATGTGATTTTTTAATAATGCTTATTTTTTTTAACAAAAATGCTTCCTACCCCCACTGGGGGTCGACCCCCAGTGAGGTGTCACTCCGGGATTGGCCCAAAAAAAACAGTTTTTTTTTTTTTTTTTTTTTTTTTTTTTTTTTAAAACAATTTTTTTTTTATCCAATCGGGGGTCGCCACCTCACTGAGGGTCGACCCCCACTGGGTGTATGAATCACCGTTGTTTTTTTAATGGGGATAAATAAGATGTAGTTATGCTAATTTTCAATTAACATAATAGCAGAAGAAAGTATATGGGGCTCGTAAATGAAAAAAAAAAACTGCATCTTCCATTTTTGTTTTCATGATTATTGATTTGTGGTGTTTTTTTGAAATTTCATTATCTGTCATTCAATTCAAATGTGATCATTTTTGTTGCGCTTTTTGTTGTGGGTGTATGAAGTGTAATTTAAGGGCATGTTTGATTGGAAGGATTAAAGTATGGGATTAGGATTATTAATCCGTGGGCCCAACCATCCTATGTTTGTTTTGACATTTGGTTTAGGACTATTAATCCAATGGATAATTAATCCAACAAATTTGTAGGATAATTAGTAATAGGGTAGGGGTGGGATAGTTAATACCACACTAATTTGATAGGATTATTAATACCTCACTATTAGTATTGTGAATCAAACATGACCTAAAGGTTTTTTTTTTTGGATTGTAATTTTACCAGTTATATAATAATTAATTTATAATTAAAAAAAATTATGACATAATTATAAGGTCATGGTTTGATTTCAGTTGAACCGATAATTCGTTCACTCAATTTCTTTTTCTTTGCTTGATCCAATTTTCAAAATATTATTTGTGAGTTTGTTGTGTAAAACTTTTTTTTTTATTTAAAAAAGATGCTCTGAGGTGTTATCACGGCATTTGTGAGCTCAGGTCCCGAGAAAGTCGGTTGTCAACTTGATTTAACCTGATCCATAGGTAGGGACTCATCATTGAGACACTAACGGAGCTCAATTATACGTCATAGATGAGCTAAGGTTTCAATCAAAATACAGAACGAGGTTATTGAAGTGAGCCACTAGAATGATTATTAGACATCAACCAGCTGAGCTGGTCATAGGGTACACGCTCTGAGTTACGCTTGGTCAGAAATTATTCGGTGTGTATTATTCATTAATGAAGATTGCCTTGAGGTACAGTCGCGTCTAGTTGTTCTATGATGTGTATAGGAAAATGATTTGGAGCCTTAAAAATACTCCCCTAATCTTCCTAATTTCCAATTTGGGCAACTTTTTACTTTTTTTTTTTTTTTTTTACTTGATATGGAAATTAGGGGAGGTATTTTTAGGGGGATGTAGCATTACTCGATGTGTATATATCATATATATATACATATGTATATAGCGTTTTTCTATTGTTTAAGCGGTACATTCTAAGGATTGAGTTTTATTTTTTTGAAAGTCAAAAGATTTTTTTCCCCTCTCTAAAAAAGTCAGGTTAACATGTCTTTTCCATTTACATTTAAAATTTTATATAAATTCAATTTCAATTATAATAATTAATTTTATATAGATTTTATTTGAGAAATATTTATTTTTCATATATTTTTGTATCATGTATTTAGTTTTGTCGTCAACAAATTTATTTTATATAATTGATATTTTAATTTAATTATTATCATATTTGAAAAAAAAATTATCTCGATATACAAATAAAAAAATAAATAAAAGAAAAAAAATTAAAGTTTGACTTTAATTATTTTGATATCTACTATCATTACTATCTATATCTATATCTATAATTTTAAATTTTAAAATTACTTATATGGAAAGTCAAAAAATAAATTTTAGCCATATCTTTCATCAAAATCTAAGTCATATCTAATTTGAAACTAAAAACTTTTAAAATAATATTTCAATTGTAATTTTATCCATATATAATTTGAAAATGTGAACTTTTTTGTATTTTTAAAATGAAATAAAATATACATATGGTGTGAAACACATGTGAAATTATTTTTAATTATATATTAAAAAATTAATTTTATTTTATATTTTATTTTATTTTATTTTTTGTCTATTCTATTGATGTCTTAATATTAATTTATATTTAATTTTTTATTTAATACGAAATTTTTTATTACAAAATATTTATATTTAATTTACATTTTATATACCTACATACAATATGTATGAATAATTCAAAAATAATATTAAAGAAAAAAAAAATCAATACTCCACATATTTAATTTATGTATTTTTTCTTAATCCAATCACAACATATTTATATGTGATCTTTTAAATAAATTTTGTATAGTTCTATTTCTACATATTTTTATTTTATAAATAAAAATAAAAAATAAAAAAAGATAAACCAATGGAAATGTCTTTATGTAACAAAATATAACCTAATTATTTTAATAAAAATATTCAATAAAACTCAAAATACAATAAATTATAACAAATTACTATCACTAAATATAACAAAATTAATCAAATTATGTGCACAAATATTTTGTGTGATATTTTGTTACAAATAAAATAAATCAATATTAATATTTTAAGAGTAACTATTGAAATTGATAATTTAAGATAGTAAAAAATTTGGGGATGGGGAGAGAGAGAGGGAGAGAGTGATTGGTAAACACAATGGCCCACTTATCTGCTGTGTATTTCAGTACACGTCAGAGAAAAAAAAAATACTCCTCTGGGAAGCATCGTTCAGCTTATCCGAAAACGACACATTGACATAAGAGGGTGTTTCTGTCAATATTTTAATGGAATGGACTGCTAAATTACCATGGAGTCCCTGGGGGCATTATGATTGTGATGGTGTGTGGTGGCCAGAGATCATTGGTGATTGCAGGATACAATGATGGTCCCTAGTAAACTACCCACCATGTTTTTCATGATGAACAATTATGCAATAGTACTGAAATATCAAGCTATCATATTTCTTCATTAATTATTATTAATTATGTTTATTATATTTGTCAATTATTTAATATAAATAATTAAAAGAAAAATTGCATGCAAGCAACAGAAGATAAAAAAAATTACTAACACATGGGATAATTTTTCATTTACATCCCATCACAGACACACATGCACCTTCATGTATTTGTAATTTTTTTTGGGTAAATTACCTAGAAGTCCTATTTAAAAGATAAAGGGCTTGTTTAGTTTGTATTTGAGAAACATGTTTTGAGATAAAAAGTACGAAAATTTATTTGGTTTGATTTTTTTTCAAAAGATTTTTGAAAAATTATTTTAAGAGAGAGTTTTAGAAAAAATGATTGATTTGATGTGTATGAGAGAGATTTGTTTGGAAAACTTGTAAACCAAACAAGTTTTAGAAATTGTCCAAATAAAAATAAAATGAAATAATTAGACTCACTTTTAGTTTTTATATTACTAATTCTCTTTTTAATTTAATTATTATTTTTAATATCAAAATGAGTGTTTATTTTACTATTTTATAATTTAATATAAGTTATATAAAATCATTATATGATAATTATAATTTTATAACTATTGGCTTTTTTGGCTTTCGAAGGTTAATTACGTAATTTCAAGCGTGTCAGTAAGGATCAATCAGTCCTTACAGAATTTTAATTATCAATCAATTATCAAACGATTGTGTTGAAATTTTTTCAGTCTCAATGAAGAGGATTTTTACTGGTCGCTTGTTTTAGAAGAAATTTATAAGAAATAATAAGTACAGAACAATTCAAAAATTGAATTTCATTAAATAAATAGGAACTTACAATACAATGACTCAGTCTTGAAAAAGATTTATAGCAACGACTACTTGAAACTACTCTTAGAAAATGAAGTGCGGTACAAGAATTAAAATGCTAAAATATAAAGAACTGGAAATGTAAAACTAGAAAGAAATATGAATTAAATAAATTGGTTTCTAGATCTGAGTCTGGGTCTTTCAATTTAGGGCCTTCTTTGCTATTTATACTCTCCAAGGGTAACCGTCGAAGTGGGTTTTCAGCTGTCGAAATGTCCTCCCATGATTGCTGATCATACTCTCTCATAGTCAGTCCCACTATGCCATTCTTGCAGTTAGGCTTCCCTCTTGGATTTGAATTTGAATTCGTGAGTAACCGTTGAGCCATGTCATCTTGCGCCTTCTAGCTATTCTAGTGCTACGCAGATCCATTATAACCAATATGACCTACCATGTGTCTATTTTTGACTGGAGACTTGTATTAACTCTCTGAATTGCCCTTCACGTACCACGTGTCAAGCTGCGATTAGCTTTTACCAAATATGTAGCCAACATTATCCCCCGCACTAATATATCCAATACTTGGTGATATTAGTGAACTCAATGCACTTTGTTCACGTCCTAGGACGTGCATGGACTTTGCATCTTCTTAGAAATGCAACTGTCTTTCATAAATGAAGCACTTGATCTACATTAAATTCTTTCATATGCTTGAACATTTTCCATTATCTGAGTATTTGAAAGGGCCAATACAGTTCCCATGGTCAAACAAA